CTGCCCGGGCTGGCTTTGAACCGCGATCCTCAGATCTCAGCCTCCTGAGTAGCTAGGATTACAGGCGTGAGCCACCAGCGCCCGGCGACCTACCCTGTCTTGACCACACGTCCACATGGCTTTCTCCTGCCAGCCCTGAAAGTGGGTTTAGAATTGAGGCTGAGGCAGTAGAGCACTGTGGGGAGTTGGGGCAGATTTGAATGTTTGCCCCCCCCCATTCTTAACCATGCCTGTGTAACCTCTGCTTTCTCGGGGGAGATGAAGCCAGCGGCGTAGTGTTGCCAGGAGCAGAGGCTAATGGTCCTGCTCTGGCATGAGTTGAGTGTGTGGACCACTGCAGAGACCTGAGCACAGGATGGGCTTTGTTCTTATTCAGAGAGGAGGACCTCTTGGTGGACAGCAGTGGGATCAGAGGAGGGCCGTCTGGGCAGCGGCTCACCATGCTGCCCAAGCCGTGCTCTGATATGCGGTGTGCATGGAGAAGTGGGGATCTTGGCGGCTCACTCAGGTCAGGGTTAGGATAAAAGCCCTTGATAGGTGTGCCTCAGCTTCACTGTGCTGAGACCGAGTCTTGAGTGCCAAAAAGAAGATCCATACCTAGATGCTGGAATTGTACAGCGTCAGCCATGATTTTTTGGAGGAATATAGTCACAGATAAACAGATATAAATATATGCATATGTATGTGTGTGCATGTATGTGTGCATACACATTATTTTTATTTCTTCCTGAGATGAATGCAGGGCCTTGTGCATGCTAGGTAAGTAAGCATTCCACTACTGAGCTACACTCTAGCCCTACGGAAAGCTAATTTTAATCACTATTACTGATGGCAGGAGGTGGGAGTTTTAGACTTTTTTTTCCCTTAGCAACTTGGTGTTTTCCCTTAGTAACCCTTACCACTGCTTAGAAACCTCTTTTCCTCTTCCTAGATCCCTAAGGATGAGCATATTCTTCGGTTCCTACGTGCTCGAGATTTTAATATCGACAAAGCCAGAGAGATCATGTGCCAGTCCCTAACGTGGCGGAAGCAGCATCAGGTAGACTACATCCTAGACACCTGGACCCCACCCCAGGTCCTTCAGGACTACTACGCGGGAGGCTGGCACCACCATGACAAAGGTAGTGTGCTCCTGACACCCCTCCAACCTCCTGGACCTAAGCATCTGAGGCCCCTGCTCTGGTTAGGCAGGCCCCTCTCGGTCTGACCAGCATGGACAGCTGGGGAGACAGGCCCTCCACAGGCGCTTGTGCCAGTCTGGACAGCCCAGAAGGGGCCTGAAGCCTTTGATTTCTCCTCGTGACTCGGTCACCATGGTTTACTTCTTTTCTTAGGTGAAGTCTGCTATGACTTTTAAAAAACTGAATGTTGGCAGGCACTCGTGGCTCACACCTGTAATCCTAGATACTCAGGAGGCTGAGATCTGAGGATCTCGGTTCAAAGCCAGCCCCGGCAAGAAAGTCCATGAGACTCTTACCTACAATAAACCACTAGAAAACCGGAAGTGGCGTGTGGCTCAAGTAGTAGAGTTCTAGCCTTGAGCAGAATTGAAGCCCCAGGACTAACACACATACATACCATCACCACCATCCCTACCCCTTTCTCTCCTTCCCCCTCCTTCCCCCCCCCCCACCAATGTTTGGTTCTGAAGCTTCTCAGTAAAAGAACTTCAGTGACTTAGACTCTTGTAGCTAGAAAATGTCCAGCCAGGTTTTCTACCTCAAAACAATGGAGAACTTGAGTAAACAAAAGGTAGATCCTGGCATACCTCCCTGAAGTGAAGCTCTACCCAGGCCTTCCAGAAAAATCTGCTTTGTCAAGGGCTGTCCCTGCAGTTCCTGGAGAGGAGACAGGATCTCCGTGGAACCTGCTCTTCCACCTTTGAACGAGTTCTTCCAAGCCTGGCTGAGCCCATCCATCTTGTTCTCTTCAGTTAATCGCTTGTACCTCTCCAGATCAATTGCAGCTTTATTTAGTTCTTGAAAATGATGTGTATTGGCCAGGTACCAGGGGTTTATGCCTGTAATCCTAGCTATTCAGGGCTGAAATCTGGAGGATCAGGGCTCAAAGCAGAGAAGTTCATGAATCTTTATCTCCAAAATAACCAGCAAGAAGCAAGGCTAGAGGCTAGAGGCATGGCTGAACAAACACAAAGCCCCTCCTATTATCAGGAAAGGAAGGAAGGGAGGGGGAGAGAGAGAGAGAGAGAGAGAGAGAGATGTATTGAGTGTTAGTGTGATTTTTGTTTTGTTTTTGTTTGAGGCAGGGTGTGTGTAGCCCTGGTGGGCCTCAGACCTTGATGCTCCTGCCTGAATTTGTACAGTGCTCCCCCTGAATTTGGGATTATAAGCAAGTTTGCTGAATAGCTTTTAATTTGTACTGGGAACACCATTTTTCTATTTATTCTACTTTGTGACCCAACTGGTGAATGGGAAGAAAGGTTGCTAGTAAGTTATTGACAAACGTGTTCTATTAAATATCAGAGGAAACTTGCATGAATTGACATTTCTACAGAATTCCAAGTGACATTTTGCTTTATGCAGCTAGCTCTAGGTCAGATCCTCAGGTAGCATTCTCAGGTGCCAGCGCCCTGCTGGCTGATTCTGTTTGTCTGCCATTAGCAGCACACCAGGCCTGGTTTGTCTTTTGGAGCTGGCCCTGCCCATCTCTGCTTCTGTCTGGCACGGAGCGACAGGGCTCAGGATGTGCTGAGCGCAGGGTGCACCGTGGCCACTGAGGTCTTCTCAGAGTCACCTCCATGATGGTCCTGTGAGGCGCCATTCGCTAGACTGCCCTGCCAGCAAGACACGACCCACATGTGCGGCTGGTGCTGTGGCTCCTGCTCAGCCTACCCCAGGGCCCCGCTCGGCTGCTCAGCATTCACCTCCTTTTTTTTTTTAATGCCTTTTTTGAAATTGCCATAACCTCACCACATGTTCACGGGTGTGTTTGCTTGTGGGGATGCTGGGTTGGAGCTAGGGCCTTGCCTGGCACCTCTAAGATACACCCTGGCCACTGGACAAGGACTGGAAGGTGTGTCCTCTGCCTCACAGCAGGGACCAGGGCCATGTCCTGATCGCTTTCCTCCCTCCTGCAGACGGGCGGCCTCTCTATGTTCTCAGGCTGGGGCAGATGGACACCAAAGGCTTGGTGCGAGCCCTCGGAGAGGAGGCCCTGCTGCGATACGTAAGTGCTTGGCTGCACGCTCTCTCGCTCGCTCCTCTGGCCGCTGGGATAAACATGCTTCACTTTTGCGCTTAGAGAGGAAATGTGGCCCTGTGTGTAAGAAGTTCTGAGCCGCACTCCATCGGCTCCCCGCCGCCCTGCTGCTGCTCTGCCCTGGCACCTCTTCCTGCAGCCCATCCTGACCACGCCCCCTCCTCTAGTCCCAGCCTTCACTTTCCAGACAAACAAAACCCTAAAGATGCATCTGAAGTCCACCACCCTCACATACACTTTGTTGTGTACCGTAAGGGGCTCCCAGCAGTGTGTATTCCCATGTCTGTGTGCACACGTGTGGGCTATAGCGGCTGCTCTCCTGATCTGCCCTGGTAGCTGCTATGAGTCTGCCCTCCTGCAGGCATCGGAACCGTGTGCCCATGCCCCCCTCCCCCTCCCCCGCACGTGCAGTCCCTGCTCACCCGTGACTCGACATAGCCCCTTTGCCATGGCACCGTCTCCTGTGCTGGAGAGGGGTAGGCGTGCGGGCATGTCAGGAGACGGAGCGGATGCTGCTCTGCGAGCCTTGCCTGTGGCGGGCTCTGCTCACGGTCCTCCGTGGAGCCGACTCCTCCTGGCCGTTGGTGCGGCCTTCTGTGCACAGGTTCTCTCCATAAACGAAGAAGGTCTGAGGCGATGTGAAGAAAATACCAAAGTCTTTGGACGACCTATCAGGTGGGTGAGAGGTTATATTCTTCCTTTCAGCTTACAGAAGCTGAATTCAGTCTTTCTAGTTGATACCCTGGTCTTTTGCTATTCCAAGGTGTTCTAGAAGGTGACTAGAGAAGCTCCCACAGGGGAGCTGCTGGGTGTCAGCGTTCTCGCCCCCCGAAGTGGCAGTCTCTGGTGGCTGCCGCGAGCCCAGGTCTACAGGGGTTTGCAGGTTGCTGTCTGTGTCCTGTGCCGTGCTTCTGGCTGCGGCAGGCGGTCTGAGAGTGGCAGTGATTGGTGTCAAGCACCGGTGGGAGGGGTCAGAGTCCTCAGCTCCTCACCCAGTGCTCCACCCAGGAAGATGTGTGAGCGCTTACTACACTTCACACCTGGTGTGTACCAAGGACAGCACATTGTGCCTGCTGGTCATGGAGCGGTCTCGAGGGCTTTTTTCCAGTACTGTAGCTTAGGGTGAGCTTATGTGTGTCATAAAGTGTCGAAATGAGAGCTCATCACTAGCCTTTGAAAAACCAATATTTACTCGGAAAGGACTGTAAATGACTTGTGTGGTAGGAGAAAGACATGAGGCGTGGGACACAGCTGGCCACATGCTGCCTGCTGAGTGGGGCTGGGCTCTGCTCTTCCCACAGCTCGTGGACCTGCCTGGTGGACCTGGAAGGGCTGAACATGCGCCACCTGTGGAGGCCAGGGGTCAAAGCCCTGCTGCGGATCATCGAGGTGGTAGAAGCCAACTACCCCGAGACCCTGGGCCGCCTCCTCATCCTCCGCGCCCCCAGGGTCTTCCCAGTCCTCTGGACACTGGTGGGTTTGGGTATCTGCTGCCACAGGGTGCCATTGGGAATGTAGATGGGAGCGTCCTCGCGCCCCGCAGAGCAGGTGCACCCCAGCAAGGCCCTGGCCAGGCCACATCGGTAACCGTCACCTCAGAGAACCAAACCACGCACTCTTTTTGGATTGCTACAGGTTAGTCCGTTCATTGATGACAACACCCGGAGGAAATTCCTCATTTATGCGGGCAATGACTACCAGGGTCCTGGAGGCCTGCTGGATTACATCGATAAAGAGATCATTCCAGACTTCCTGAGTGGGGAGTGCATGGTATGTATCGGGGCAGGGAGTCGCCCCTGTTTGTGCAGTGGGAAAGGTCTGTGTTGGCTTGCACAGTGATTTTCAGAATGTGTGGTTGTTTGGTGTTTCGTCATTGATTTAGGTCATTGTGGACATGGCACATTGCTTAGTGTTAAGTGCTGATGAGAATTTGCTTTAGAACCAGATACAGATGTGACTTGCTTTATCTGCATGCCTGAATGAATGATAGGCTATGAACTCGGGGTCTCCCCTCCTTGCTAGTTAAATGCTCTTAGCACCTTTTGCTGTGTATTTTTACCTGGGGCAAGCATGAGACCTTGATTTTCCCACCTATGGGCAATTGAGAGAACCACCACACCTGATCTGTTTGTTGAACTGGGGTCTTGCTATCCTTTTTTTTTTTTTTTTGGAAGGAGAGGCTTGCCCCAAATTACCATCCTCTAGATCTAGTATCTCCTGAGTAGCTAGGATTATAGGTGTGAACTCACACCCAGTGTTAGTGTGTGCGTGTGTTTTAGTTAGGAGTATTTAACATAAGGAGGTAGAAGAGGGCTGTGACTTGCTCCATTGCAAACAGTGGCCTGTGAAGCAGCAGGAAATGAGGGGGCCTCCTTCCCACGGCACTTGACAGGCAGATGCTGTGGCACTTGAGCCATGTCCCCAGCACACACTGGGCCAGACTCACTTGCTAAACTAACGAATTGGGTTGTCAAGGGTCTTTCTGAAAACAGGAGCTTAGCTCTCTCCCTGTACCAGTTCAGCTTTAAAACAATTGCAGACCCTCATAGTACAAAGGACAAGAAAATGACAGGGCCATCTCCTCTCAAGAGCCCTTGAGGTAAACCGTGTGTCAGGTTTTGTCCTTAGAGCTAACCATCCCATATTTAATTCGGATTCATTAATAGGAGTTATGTACATTTAAAGTAAATACTGTCGGGCACTGGTGGCTCATGCCTGTAATCTGAGCTTCTCAGGAGCATGTACAGTAAAGTCTGTGAGATTTATCTCCAACTAACCACCTAAAAGAGCCAGAGATGGAGCAGTGGCTCAAGAAGTAGAGCTCTAGCCTTGAACAAGAAGAGTTTAGGGACAGTGCCCAGGCCCTGAGTTTAAGCCCCAAGATTGGCAGAAAAACAAAATTGAGTATTGAATCCTCTCTCAAAAGGATTTGTCCTGTGATGATAAATCCCTGAGGAGTGGGGCCCCGGAGGGGGCTCCGTGCCTCAGTGTCGGGAGGTTTAGCCTAGTCGAGCCATTTCAGCTGTGTCTTACTCTGTGGTCCGCTGCTTTCCTAGAGGGCATTTGACCTGGGTCAGGCAGTTCTCTGGGGCCATGTTCTGTGAACGCTGCGCTGCTGTAGGACTTGCTCTGTGGTGGTCTCCAGAGCAGAGAATACAGGGACTTGGGCTTTTATGAGCTTGAGTATATAGTCATTGTGTCAAGGTCATTAGAAAGTTTACAGTACATACAAATTCTGATTCTACTTAGCCTGTTCCAAACAAGTGACAGGAAGTTTGATGTGTTAGAGCTTGGGGCCTGCGCTGCTGGCCAGGCGCGGTGCCACTGTGCGGGTGTCTCAGGCCTGGCTGTGATTTCACAGGGGAATGACGCCTAGCTGTTGGGAATAAAATGTGTCTCCCGACATAATGCTCTTCCGTTACAGAGCAATATAAATTCTTTCAATTCTTACACAAACCATCCTTACTAATTCAGCCCAGTGCCTCATATACATTAGTGAGAAGCTTGTGGTAAACCAGCTTCAACTTGTCCTGATTTATTCAAAGGAAAACATGTATTGAAGTGATTTTAAAAACATTTAGCTAAGTAGTTCAGAGTACTTGATGCCTGGCCAGCGTGCGCCTTTGCTCTGCGGCTGTGAGGGTTCCATCCGCCAGGCTCTCCCTGTGTCTCCATTTCCAGTGTGAAGTGCCAGAGGGTGGACTGGTCCCCAAGTCTCTGTACAGGACTGCAGAGGAGCTGGAGAACGAGGACCTGAAGCTCTGGACGGAGACCATCTACCAGTCCGCAAGCGTGTTCAAAGGAGCCCCACATGAGGTACCTGCGGAGGGGCCCCAGCCCGCAGCAGCAGCGTGGCTCTGGCCTTAGTCCACAGAGCAGTAACATACAGAGTGTTGAATGTGGCCCCCTGCGACTGTGGAGGACCGAGCCCTGGAATACAGCATGGCAGTGCGGTCAGATGCCTAGAAGGACACTAGCCCCTCACTTCCTCTTCACTGGAGATACTTGAGGATATGAAGAGTTAGTGCGCGCGCATGTGTGTGTGTGTGTGTGTGTGTGTGAAGGAGCGAGTGTGAATGTGTGGGAGTGTATGTGAGGTTATGTGTGTGTATCTGTTGGTGGAGTAGGGGGGTGTCAAGCCCCGAGTGTGGTTTATTTAGGCTGATTTTTTTTCTTGACGAGGTTGGCTATTGTGAAGTTAGGGCCGCGCGGTGCAGAAGCAGGCGTGTCCTGCTTGGCGTCTGCCACACGTCTGTCCTGGAGCCTGGCCAGCGTCTGTGCGCGCTGACTGTTCTGTGCTTGGCTCCAGTCATACGTGGCCCAGCGTTGCTGGCAGGATGGTGCCTTCCGTGCAGAGCGGGTGACAGCGCAGGGTCACTTTGGGCAGCAGGGGAGGAAAAGCTCCAGTTCGTGGTCTGCAGGCAGCTGTCCACCCTGCCTTCGTTCTAGGAGCTTAAGGCCTGGTGGTCTCTGTGGGTCACGCCAGCTCTGCCTCAGGAAGCAAGGGAAAGGGCCTGTCCCGGGTCCTCCTCCAGCTCCGTGAGGGCCAGCGGTGGGTCCATGGTGCCTTCCGAGAGGCGAGAGCTTGGCCGCGGCAGGGCACAGGCCTCAGCACAGACAGATCTGCCCTTGACAGCCACTGCTGTGCCGCTCATGCCTCCTGCTGTGCTTCAGTGAATGTGCGAGTTGGGGAGCTGCGGAAGTGGCCCGTGCTGTGGTACTGTGGCTGGGGTGGAGCTGAAGGAGGTGATGGGTAGCCGGCCCCCCAGGCCCCTTGGGGAGCAGCTGAGGCGTAGTGACTGCAGGGCCTCCTCCAGCTAGTTTTTCCTTCTCAGTCCCCTTGACTGCTCTTTGGAGTCTGAGACTTTGACCATCTTCCTTCCAGGAAGCTCCCTCGGGGCTCAGCACCCAGGGCAGCCGCCCACTCCATGGGCTTCTCCCACCCCCACTCCCCTGGCCTGGGTCTCCACTTACTATTTACCTAGCTTCCCCTCCTGGGCCCAAGCAGCCCACCACACTCCACGACCAATCTCACAGGGTTTGAAATGCCTGGACAGACGATGGTTTTGAATGCTGTGAGCATGGTAGAGTGGGAATCTTTTCCCCAAAAGCAGGGAGCCCACCCAGCTCACCTTGCCTCCTAGCAGGAACTGTTGGTTGACGATGGAGGATTATGGGCACTGGCTGATGACCCCGCCCCCTTTGCAGCACATGGGTGGGCCACAGATCCCCCAACAAGGCTCGTTCCTGTCCAGCACTGGCCTGGGCTTCGGAGTGTGGGTTGGTGGGCTGATAAGGTCTCTTTTTCCAGATCCTCATTCAGATTGTGGATGCCTCCTCGGTGATCACTTGGGATTTTGACGTATGCAAAGGGGACATTGTCTTTAATATCTATCACTCCAAGAGAGCGCCACAGCCTCCCAAAAAGGATTCCCTGGGGGCCCACAGCATTACTTCTCCAGGCGGGAACAACGTGCAGCTCATAGACAAAGTCTGGCAACTGGGCCGAGACTACAGCATGGTGGAGTCGCCTCTGATCTGCAAAGAAGGAGAAAGCGTGCAGGTAATTACACGCCTGGGATTCTGGGCACTACGGCCAGTGCAGGGTGTAGACAGGCCTGCTTCTTACACTCAAAGTCTTAGGGGGAAAGGAGTCTACTGAGAGGCCTGGGACCAGGATGCACCTAGTGAGAGGTTGGAGACTGAGCCTAGAGCTCACCTGAAGAGCATGCGTTTTCCCAGAAGCCTCAGCAGAGCACTGTGTCAGCAGAAGGAGGGGCTGCAGGCATGCGGAGGGCTGGCTCTCGGCTGTGTGGCCATGTGTCCTCAGAGGAGCTGCTGACTATGTCAAGGTGCACCGGAGCACCATGCCACTCGCTGCTACCTCCTGCTCATCGGATGCGTATGGGTGGCTGGCTGGCTGCCGTCCCTGGCCTACACAGCACACACGCAGTTTTGCTCTTGTGGCTCTTGAGAACAAGTCTGGCTGTTTTGGTGGTCCAAGAGGCAGACAGAAAGGAAATGTTTTCACCCCACTTCACAATTAGAGACTGTTTTAAGCCATCTCAGTCTTGAATCCAGAATTATGGAGAAAGTTGTCCACAGGATCAACATCCCTTTGGCCAGGGCTATAAGAGGAGGTGACTAGCAGTGTGGTGGAGAATGTGGAACCTGGCCTGCTGACCTGAATGGCCCCTTCCTGCCACACACCTGCTACCTCGTGGCCTTTATCCTTGGGAGACTGGCTTAGAAGGCTGAAGGTTTTGTTTTGTTTTTGTGCCAGTCTTGGGGCTTGATTGAACTCAGGGCTGGGCACTGTCCAGGAGCTTTCTTGAGCACGGTTAGTGCTCTCCCACTTGAGTCACAGCTCCACTTCTATCTTTGTTTGTTTGGACTGGCTTTGAACCGTGATCCTCTCAGATCTTAGTGTCTAGAATAGCTAGGATTACAGGTGTGAGCCACCGGCGGGTGCCCAGCTGAGGCTGAAGGTTCTTAAGAGTGACAGATACCAGGGGTGTCCCCGTGTCCTTCACAGGACATACTCTCAGTGTCCCACCAACAATGAGCCGTCCTTAATCCCATCAAGATGGTCGGAAGTCACTGCCATGTTATGCCCAGGGACACCACGTGGCTGTTGGTCAGCTCCACGGCCTTCCTTGTTCCAGGGCTCCCATGTGACCAGGTGGCCGGGCTTCTACATCCTGCAGTGGCGGTTCCATGGCACGCCAGCCTGCGCTGCCACCAACCTGCCCCGGGTGGACGACGTGCTGGCCTCCCTGCAGGTCTCCTCTCACAAGTGCAAAGTCATGTACTACACGGAGGTCATCGGCTCCGAGGACTTCAGGTGCGCCTGGGGTGTGACTCCAGGCCTCAGGTGGTGGGGGGCACTCGGGGAGCTCCTTCGCTGGCTGTGACTCTGCGGGGCGCAGTGCCCGGGGGAGGGGGGGTCCCCCTCTCCAGTCTCCGAGTCCTGAAGTGCTGCTGAGGCAGTGTGGGCAGGTGGGAGGCTCCAGGCTGGGCCTCAACACCTCGTCCCCTCCCTGTGCCGTCTGCAGAGGCTCAATGACCAGTCTGGAGTCCAGCCACAGCGGGTTCTCCCAGCTGAGCGCCGCCACCACCTCCTCCAGCCAGTCGCACTCCAGCTCCATGATTTCCAGGTAGTGCTGCGAAGCCTGGGCCCGTGCGCAGAGGGGACAGCCGCGCCTCCGCCACCGCCCGCCCGCCTGCCCGCCGCGCTCCTCCCTGGCCACCTGTGCACACTCCTCCCCCTCTAGATAGCCGTAGTGCTCCTGATGTAAACGTAGTTACTGACCCAACTGTCTCCACAGGCCGTTTTCATCTCACCCCGACTAACTCGATAGCCATAGATTTTGTATGCAGCGCGCACAAAATCAACACAGAGCACAAGGGCTCTCTTGGAAGAAAAGTAGTTTCTAAACCAGTTAGGTTCACTTTGTCTCAGATGTTGATGCAAAAAATTTTTCAACCAGCTGCACCTTGTCCACTAGTGGGTGACTTCCTGAGCGCCCAAGGAGGAGCTCTGTGGCCACCCTGCGAGCCCCCCGCAGGCAGCTCCACCGCAGCTCTCAGGGAGCACTCTCCCCGTTCTCAGGGGGCGCTGGTGGCTCGGAGGGGCTCTGGAGGGGCTCTGGACGTCACCACTCCGGGAAACGTCGCCATCATTAAACATTACTTCCTCCTTCCTCCTTTCCAAGTCTTCTGATAGTTGTCAGAGCAGGCCTGTCTGTCCTGGGCTGGGGTGGGGCCTTGGTCCCTCCTCTCCCGAGGGTTCCTCCCGCCCACAGACAGCTATGCACACGCCCTGGCTCTTGTTCGCTGCGCTCGGCTCTGTGCGGGCCCCGTGGAACCGGCGTGTCGCACTTGCAGGTCTGCCAGCCAGCAGCCTGGAGCGTCGCGCCAGCCCTGGTCTTGGTCAGCGGACGTGGTGGACGTGTGTGTGGGGAAGGGGGGTGCCTGTAGCCGTGGGGTGCTGGGAGGGGAGCAGTAGAAATGAAGTCTCCGCGGAGGCAGCCGCAAAACCTGCTGCTCGGTACACCCTCATTTTAGGGGAAAAGCAGAGTATCTGCAAACCCATCTAGGAGTTGCCCATAACTGCTCTCTATGATAAAAGCATGCGATGTGTGTTTTTGTGTGTGGTAGGGACTCGTAGAGGTGTGTGGCAAGTCCTATGTGTGTGTGTGTGTGTGTGCGCGCGCACGGGCCCGGGCATGGGCGTGGGAAGTGTGGAGACACTGCGTCCCACGGGGAGAAGCTGAGCAGCCCTCACCTGCTGGGGGCCCCCCTGCCCCCCTGCCTGCCTGCCTGCCTGCCTGCCTGCCTGGTCTGACTGCACTTCCTTTGAGGGGCGAAGCCCACAGGCACAAGGCCTTGTTTCCAGAAAGTACTGAGGGTACTTAACATCTCACTGCTGCTTCCAGTCAGGGCTTCTGACTCCCAGTTCTCAGGACCTGAAGGTGGCCCCTGCTCTCTCTCTCTCTTTTTCTCTCTTTCTCTGTTTCTCTCTGTCTTTCTCTGTGTCTCAGATGGCGATTTTGCTGACAACTTCCAAGAAAATGCTCCACTCCACATGTGCCCAGAGATGTTTCTAGAACTATGTGAATTGCAGCCATGTCCCCACCCCCAGACTGAAGATCTGTCCTTTTTAAGTTGATTCCGAAGTGGCACTGTTCTAGTCCCAAAGAGCTGGGCCCGTCTGAGAGTTGAAAGCACTTGACTGCTATTTATGGCCTCCAGGGTTCTCCCGAGTGCTGCCCCCCCCCTTCCCTCCGGCCTCCCTGGCTGCCGTGCTCCCGGGGGGGGGGGGGGGCCCAGGCCCTGCTGGGATGTCACCTAGCCTGCGCGCCGCGCCGCCGCCCCTTCTCAGTACTAATGATTCTGGGCTTCTCCCTCATGACCAGAGTCTTCACTCACTTCCTCCCTCGGCTCATTGTTTGCATATCAAATTCTGTAAATGTTTTGTAAACATATTACCTCACTCTTGGTAATACAATGAGGATAGTCTTTAAAAGATTTTTTTATTGTTACAATAATAAATGTGACTGTTTAAGAAAGTGGTGTCTTTTCCTTCTTGGTCCACATCTCCCTTGAGAGGACAGAGAGGCGCAGGCTTTTGAGAAGAATGTCCTTCCGCACGCCTGGCACTCTAATTGCAAGGGCATCCATCTCATCTAGCGTCTTGGGAAACAAAACCTGTGGAGCCTGGTGACTCCATTCCTACCCAGGCCCCTCTCAGCGGCTGCAAGAGGGAGGAAGGACCTCACCCAGACTCCAGCTCTCTGTGCTGCCCAGGGAAGACCATATTTACTCTTCCACTAGGCTCTCCCTGTTTGCCCCAGGCTGGCATCTGATTACCATCCTCCAAAATGGACTGGAGCCAGGGAGCAGGGGCGAGTGCAGCCGGGGTACGGGGCTGCACCAGAAGCAATGAATGAGCTGGGTTAAGCTCAACCACAGAAGGACCTCAGGAAGTTAGAGACTCATTCTTGAGCCTACTTCATTGGAAGGTTTCGAAATAGTTTCAAAGGCAGAGTGAGGTGGCACACACCTGTGTTCCCAGCACCGGGGATGCTGAGGCTGTGGCGGATCCTGAGTGGAGGCCAGCCTAGGCTGCCTAGACCTTGTATTAGGAATAATTACATCCATCCGAGGGTCAGAAAAGATCCAAGTTAATCTACAAGAAGCTGAGAGACAATAAGGCCCCTGAAGTGAAAGGATGTCTGGCAAACAGCCCTGCAGTAAACCTGGGATTTTAAACATGAGCTAAAGGACATGAGACAAGCAGGAAAGAAAAGGATGAGCTGTTGGATTTCGTGTTTAGGAAAAGCACTAAGTGAGAAGGAAGAAAACAAATGAGCTGAGACTCAAAAATTAGAAATGAACCAGAAAGTCATTTCAGGAATTGAGATGGTGGTGAACATGAGCAAGGACCACGCAGTCGGGAAACAGCTCAGTGAATGTGCTGGATGTTTTTATGAAAGAAAAGTCCATGGATCCTGGGGCCAGTGGCTCATACCCGTAATCCTAGCTACTTGTGTGGCTGAGATCTGAGGATCCCAAGTCAAAGGCAGCCCAGACAGACAAATCAGAGAGACTTACCCTCAAATAACCAGATAAATCCCAGAAGTAGAGCTGTGGCTTAAATAATAGAGTACCAGTTTTGAGCAAAAAGCCAGGCACGTGTATAAAGCCTTGAATTCAAGCCCTAAGACCAGAATAAATAAAAATGAAGGAAAAAACAAAAGCCCTTGGGTCATCGACAGAGAAACAGTGAGACTTAGGAGGATTGGGCTCAGACCAGATGAAGTTGAAGTAATTAAGATTTAGCCAGTTGACAGTGGCTCACACCTGTAATCCTAGCTACTCAGGAGGCTGAGTTCTGAGGATCATGGTTCAAAGCCAGCCCTGGCAGGAAAGGCCGTGAGACACTTAATCTCCAATAATGTACCAGAAAACTGGAAGTGGTGCTGTGGCTCAAGTGGTAGAGCACTCACCTTGAGCTGAAGAGCTGAGAGACAGCGCCCAGGCCCAGAGTTCAAGCCCCATGACAGACCAAAAAAGATTTCTTCAAGGCAGGAAAGGACATTGGTGAGGTTTTCATTGTGCCATGATTGGGCAAGTGATGGCAGATGGAGATGCACTGAGAGACACCCACTGGGGCACCCAGGCCTGGAGGACGAAGACCAGAAAGGGAAGGGGACACACAGCCAGGCATGGACATGTCCCATGCTGCTCTGCACCATGGGGAACGGATGGGAGCATCAGTAACTACTAGGCAGCGTTCACCTTGTTGTCCTGAGAGTGTTGCTATGGTAATGTGATAAAAGAAAAGCACATCTGAGATAATCAAATTCTAGCCTCCCCTCCCCCGCCTGCCCTGTGTGGACACAGCCAGGAGGAGGTTAACCAGGAGCAACCTGATCTCAACTTTTTATTTTAGGTTTGAGACTAGGACTCGAACTCAGTACCTGACACTCACTCATTGGCTGGCATTCTACTGACTGAACCACATCTCCAACCCCCAAGGGTTGATTTTTTTTTTCTTTTCTTCCCCCCCTTTGATTTGGAAGACTAACTTGAAGCCATGAGCTGTGGAGGCCTCTGCCTCCACATTTAATTAGGGAGGTCCTGGCATGGCCCGAGTGGTGGAGGGCTTGCCATGAAAGCAACCCCAGCACCACCCCCAAAAGCACAAATGGACAGGACTGAACTTAGGAGTTGCACATTTGGGCAATAAAACCAGCTTTAAAACAAGGAAGCGTTTTGGTGATTCATTGGAGAAAAAAGTCTCACAAACTTTCCCACCCAGGCTGGCTTTGAACTGCGATTCTCAGATCTCAATCTCCTGAGTAGGAAAACAGGCATGAACCACCAGCTCCCTGTTTTCTCTATCTTTACGTTACAATAAAAAAGGTTTGTGATTGTTCAGGGGGTTTTGTGTATGTTTAGTTAAGGATTTAAATGCCTTAAAGGACGGTAATGCCTGCTCTTTATCTGGAAATGCAGGTTTTCTTCCCTCCAAACCCCAAACGCAGGTGCCTTGGGCAGGGCTGGCCTGCAGGAGCTGCTGGTGAGTGCGGGGCGGGGGGGGGGGGCGCGCTGTGGCAGAGCGCAGGGTGGAGGTGCAGAGATGCAGCCAGGCTCTGGGCCATCCCTGTGCTCATCTCATTCCCAGGAGGGAATCAGCCCGCCCTTCCGGGACTGCCTGACCCCACCCAGAAGTCCTGCACCCTAACCCACCCCATCTTGAGCCTTTGGGCTCCACAACCAGTCACCCAAGGGCAGTTTGACAGTGACAGAGAAACAGGAGCCATCACCACGTTTGTGTGCCAGCCACTGCGTGTCCATGTCAAGTCAGAGATGGGGGATGGGGAGCAGAGTGGGGCAGAGGCTGGTGTGATGACCAGGCCAGTGACTGCAGGGGACAGAAGGCCCGTCCTGACCCCAGCTTCCTTCCCAGAGTCTCCAGTTTCCACCAAGGGTGTGTTTAGTTCAGACTACAAAGTCACCCAGCCCGGCTGCCCCGCTCTACCTCTGACCTTTGAGAGGCACCTGTGACCAGTGGTCTCCTAATGCTACAGCAAGGCCAGAACCAAAGGTCAGCCTGACAGAGCTGGGAGAGACGGTCCTGGCCAGGAGGCCCCAGTGCTGGCTCACGCCTCCTGTCACCAGGCCAAGGCTCTTGGTGCTAGAGGATGGCAAGGTCCTTGTTTCTTCAGCACTGGGCTTGGAGTCAGAGCTGTGGGGAGAATGTTCCAGCCCTCATGCCTACCCAGGTCAGCTGAGCAGGGCTCGGATTTGATGTGTCCACGTGACAGCCACAGTGTTCCCAGATATTTGTTCCAACACTGTGTGGCAGTTTGGGTCTGAATGAACTCCTGAAGGCCCAGGAGCTAAACGCTTGGCCCCAGGGTTGTGCTAGTGGGAGGAAGGCCAGTGGGAGGTCTTTAGGTCACTGGGAGCCTGACAGATTGAGGGGGTTCATGGTGGCCGCCTCTTCTCTGCTGCTGCCCGGCTGTCCAAGGGTGGATTTGTATTGTTTGTCTCTATGATGTGTCATCATAGGTCAGTGGCAGCAGGGACCCTCATTATAGGCTGGAACTCCCAAGGTTGAACCAAAGGACCTCTCACCTCTCCGTAAGTTGATTCTTATCGGGAATCTCAGATGCTTTTGGATGAGTTCAACCTTTAAATCAGATTGAGTAATGCAGGGCCCTCCCTGGTGTGGGGGCCTCCATTCCTACAACAAAGAGACCTTCCCCAGAGAAAGAGGAATCCCCTGCCTGGATTGCCTTCAAACCAGAATGCTGCATTTGTCCTGTCTGGGCCCTTGAACCTTTGGTCTGAAGCCTGCTAGCTCTCCTGGGTCTCCAGCGGACCCACTGCAGAACTTGGGACTTGTCAGCCTCTGCATGAGCCAATTTCTCACAATAAAGCCGCTCTCTCTCCCTCTCTCCTGGCCTCCCTCCCTCTCCCCAGCCCTCCCCCTTTCCCTCCATGTCTGTCAGTCATGAACCACATGTGGATGTGGGCCCATAGGATCGTAATGGCCCTCGGCCCCATCTCTAGCAGCAGAGAGGAGCTTCTTTCACCGTCTGTAGTATCTATCTTAACCACCTCAGTACAGAGCATCTCACGCCCGTGCCCGCTGAGGTGGGCACACAGCACTGCCCACAGGTGGCCTGAGAATCTGCGGCTCCCGCAGTGCAATAGGCGATCACGTAGTAAAAGAGTATGTTGCCAGTTTATGTATTTACTGAACCTTAAAGGTGGAAGAAGCATTTGCTGTAACATGATGGTCATGTTTCACCATCAGAACCAGCATCGAAAGGCCACATGGAGGGACCAACCTCTGTCTGGATTGACCTCTATTGTCCAAGTTGTGTGTGTGTGTGTGTGTGTGTGTGTGTGTGCGCACATGTGCATGCATGTAAGTTACACTCTGTGGTGTTTGCATGACCAGATCACATAATAAAACATTGCAGCTGAACTCCAAAGCAAAGGATAACTGTGTGTGTGTGTGTGTGTGTGTGTATGTCTGTGTATGTGCTCCAAAATCATGTACTTGCAAAACCTTTGACTTTTCCAAAAACCTACTTCATCTGAGACCCTGTCCTCAGCATGGTGTGGTGTGTTGGGGTATGGATGGCAGGTTTTTGTTGTTGGTGGTGGTTGGTTGGTCATGGGGCTTGAAATTAGGATGAAGGTGCTGTCCCCGAGCTTTTTGCTCAAGGCTAGCACTCTACCACTTTGAACCACAGCCCC